TTTTATGATTACATCTTTTTTAGGGCAATATTCATTTTTGTACAATAGCAAAACGAGATATAAACGTTTTCTGGAGTTTATTGAGAGAAGGCAGAAACTCATAAGGGGTTGAAACGTGTAACTCTCATATGTTTGCTTTGTCCGATGCTCGTGATTATTCATTTTCAAAAGTACCATATTTGGAACGAGAAGAAGAGATAACTGACCAATCAAACTTCGTAAACAACGTGACGTAATTTTACTTCAGGTTCCCGCGCCCGCTTAAAAAATTGCCGACAACCCATTGACGGCCTCGCAACTTCTTGAAGTTGTCACTTCAAAAAACGATGCCTCGCTGACCATCTGCACAGTAAACTTATACTGCAAATAGGCTTTTAAAACTCTTATGTTAAAAGTCTAGAATAAACAGTGAAAAATATTTTCGAATAAAATTCATTAGCTGCGTATCGAAAAGTGTGCAAAACCTGAACCTGACATCTTTGCAAAAAGTGATCATTGTACTGAATGTGAGAAGCATTTAAAAAGCTTAAATTAAACTTGGATGTTGTAGTCACGATCGTGTTTTGAGCTAATTTTATGAATGAACAAACTCAAAACAATAGACAGAGAAGCCGTTTCTTGAAAATTTTTATTCAAAGTCCAATAAGTTAATTCTTTAAAGCAATTCGGAAAACACTATCTGGATCGTGGATCCAATCGGCTAAGCACATGGCAAAATTCACCACAAAATCCATCTCAAATCAGGGCACATTTTGTAATTTTTCTTTAGAGCCGAAGAGAAAAATTTATAAAACGTCTACGAAACACTTAAAAATACATAAATTCCCTTTCAAAAACGTAATTGTCTTGGCCATAGAGTGCAAAATGTACCTGAAAATTCAGCAAAAACTTCGCTGACTTGGTTGCATTTCAAAACAGACCACGGGCTCCGCCGTGACGAAAACAAGGTTGAATTCCTCGAAGGACGATTTCTTGATGAAAAGCTTCCCTTTCGCCACAAAAAGAAAGCTGAGCATTCTTTTGAACTTTCTTTGTCTAGCCTGTTAAAACTTCCTCTTTTGTTTTCAGCGAGAGTGATCTTGAATGCACCTTTTAACTCAAGATACGTAATCGAGCGATGACGTCAAAAGTGCAGCTTTCTTGCAGGTTGATGTACCGTTACCCGAGAAGACCTGGGTAGGAGGTTGAGTTGTTTTGGTTGCGAAAACAAAAATGGCGGTCATTTCAATCGTTCCAAGAGTAAGAACTAGGCGAAATATAAGCTAAAAATACATGGCAAGAACAGCAAGAAGACAACTCGAAGTGCGACATCTGTTATTTGGAGAATATTTGAGGGGCTGAACAACCCTAAACGTGCACTATGAACTTAACATCGACGAAGGTAAACATCTTTTAGCTTGTTTTAAAACTAGGAATTATTTTGAATGAATACTACAACAATTATTGAATTCGGCGTTCGTATAATATGAAGAATTATGGAGATCTCGGAGGGCGTTATCCGCCTCGGCCTACGACCTCGACGGATAACACCCTCCTAGATCACCATAATTCTTCATACGATACTCAACCTCATTCATGAATTGTGTGTCCAAATAAAGTTAGGTCTCTTGTTTGCCTTATATTCTGCTTGGTGTCCATTTTGCAAATTTTGGTAAAGAAATTTAAGTTATCGTTGTTTTCATGTTTGTCAAAGATTTATTCTTAGAGATTTAATCGGTTCTTTATAAGATTCAAAGCCTAGATGTTTAGTTTCATTATTTTTGGCTGAACCAATGCACATTGCTTCCTTTTTTTTTCTTATTTAATTTAAGACCTGATATGGCTTTCTTTAAGCGCATTAATATCACTACGGATGAGAGTAGTATCATCTGCAAACTGATTAATTTTGGCTTCCATCGATTGCGGTAATTTTATTCCTCGGCATTCCGGGGACTGCCTTACTCTTTGGGCCATTACCTCTACACCTAAAACAAATAATAAAGGGCTTAAGGGGCATCCTTGTCCAACGCCTCTGGAGACTTTGAAGTAATTAGTTGAATAGCCTCCGTTTAAGACCGCACTTTCTACATCACTGTATATTACGGAGATCCATTTCCTAATAACCTGACCAAACAGTTAGAACGTCTATGTACATTCTGTATAAAGGGCCATTCTATTGTATCAAATGCCTTTTCGAAGTCGATAAATAACAGGATTTATGGTATTTTTTTTTTATATCCGTATACTCCAATATATCCTCTAGTAACCTTACAATTTTTGTCCAATGAATCTTGCCTTAATAAATCCTGTTTGGTCGGAATGAATCAAAATTAAGATGACGATAACATCGCGTGCCTCGGTATTAACAGCAATGCCTCCTGTGCAGACTTTTTCAAGGTTATTAATGAAAGATGGGAAGGTAAAACATCTGTTTTTTCCCCTTAATTCCCCTTCCTTTTCCTCGTTCGTCTCGCTTTACTTGATAATTACCATAAATACCCCGAGAACCATCGCGAACGACTGCGTACGAGGCAGGTAAATTGGATGCTGATTTGAACAAATGATGGCGGACTACATCATCTATGCAAATAGAATAATATCGAGAATTATAATATTTCTAAACAAATTCAGTTTATTAAGGTATTTCGATACAGTTTTTCGGAGACCTGGCATACCGATATTTTTAAATCGCGTTAAAAGCGATTTTATCCTTGTCCGATCGCTATAAAATTCTCACCGTTGATTGACCATGAATTGGAGTTTGTCAAAATGCAGTTTTAAGAAAAATCGATATCACTATGACGGAAATAAACAAAAACTCTGAAAAGAACAAAACCGAAAAAAGGCGACTTTTGCGTGATCTAGACTTGCTAATGAGAATCCGATACCAGGAACTTAAAGTGTGGTGTTTAGCAAATAACCTCAGTGAGAAATTAAAAAAAAATGTGTATGTTTGAATTTAAATATGTAAGACGTAAATATATTATTTTCAAACCTAATATTTTCAATTACGCCTTGATAAATTATTTAATAAAAAAAGTTCTAAATGACTCAAATTAATCTTAAGTTATGTCAGAATGCTGCTCCATATCATATTTCGCTGCTTAGAAACTTTGGTGTAATTTCTTTGCTGCGATCCTGAAAACTAACCTGCTTTCTCAGTACATTTCAGTGTGAATAAAACTGCATCGAAACACTTTAATAAGTGATGAACATGTAAAATGACATCATATGGATATCTGATGGCATGGAATTAAATACTGTGGCAAGTTATATTTGATAGTTATCACAAAAGAACAAAATGTTGAGATAACATAAATGGAAATATGTCGCAGTTAACGTTGCTCAATCGCGAGTAAGCAAGTTATACTAAAGGGGAAGATATAGTACAAGTAGAAGTTTTTTTCTTGCGTTAATTTAAGTGCCTAGGTGAAAAAAATTCTCGTTAGGTGTTATTACGATCACAAAATATATACTAGACAATAATAACATGTTTTAGTTGATTGAAGAGGAACAACTCTAGAGCAAATCCTGCTAGTCTGAATTCTTTGTGTAAGAATTGTAGCAAAAGAAAGTTTTCTACCGGGGCAAAAAGCCTAATCGTTTGCCAACTGCAGAACTTTAGATATTATAACTTATGCTTACCGTTTGTGTTGGTTTGCGTTACTATACGAGTGTTATGACTTGATCGATTCATACAGGATTTTTAAGTCATCACAGAAATTCCCAAACGGTAACGCTGGTTCCATAATTACTCGTTAATAAGCAACTTACTACCATGACGCTGTACTCTAAAAGAGCAGTCAAAGCACTTGTTGCAAATGTCTCGATCTTTTGGGTCTAGCAACTGATCGCTTAGCTTAGTGCATTTGCCACGACTAGGCATGCACGCGCGACGAAGCCCCATTAACCATCCTATGCCTCTTGTTGAAGAGGCTTGACTATTGCACTTTGTGGGCTTATCTTTTTGATGTAGTGTATCACTTCTTAAAGTGCCTATAAACTAAACATTTTTATTTTTTAATGAAAAGTATACATTACTACGAGAGCATCCCCCCAAAAATCATATGGTTTACAATTTGAAAACAATGAGATTTTTTGCAATGTGAAGCATTCAAATTTGCCGCCATTTTGGCGTACAATAAATTACCGTATTTATTCGAATATTAGCGCCCAACCTCGAATTAGCGCCCATCCTAAAGGCAGAGAAAGTTTAGTAAGCGCCCAGCCTCAAATAAGCTGGTTAGTACGGTAATGCGGTAGCCTTCTTTCGGAAGCCTCAAGGAAACAAAGGAGCTGTGACGTAGATTAAAAAAGACTCTGTCGTAAATTAAGGAACAATTGACTTTAGATACAAGTAAACAAGTGTATCGTTCTCACTAGAAAAATCTATTCCTTCAAACTGAAACTGCTGTTAAAAAGGTAAAACATACTTGTAAGATGTGTCGCAGGGAGATGCAACCACACTGGCGACTCTCAGAAAGCGTGCACTCTTTGGCACATGGGGTATACCATGCATACTAGTGTTTTACTTATGATTTATACAACAGAATTATAAAGCAGAACGTTCAGAATTTTTTGTTATCATATTTGTGATTGTGTGTTTAGTTACTCAAGCGATTACAGTGTTGTGATGAGCAGTGCATGCTTCGTTTTAAGCGTTGATCATCGACAGTTACCTGAGCAAGGAAAGTATCTGGAGCGTGCATTACTAAATCTGGAGCCTGTAACCCAAACAGCCTTTTCTGACATCTATGTCCAGAAAATTTGCTGTAGGCAAGCCAATTTTCACAGTAGACTCAGACTACTAATTTTCAGAGTTAAAAGTCAGACTAGCTGGCCTTGTGCTTTTCTTTGAAGATTCCTTTTGACAACCTTACATTTCCTAATACAAGACCGGCGTTGAGCTTTTCTTTGAAGATTAGTTTTGACAACCAAAAAAGAATTGATTGGATGCTTGGGTTATATTAAATGCATCGCTTCGCTTTCAATTATAAAACTCAGTTCGTGTTATCTTGCATTTAGGGGGATAGGTCAAGATAAAATAACTCCACCTCATCGGGTAAAAAAGACTGTCCACGCCCCTTCAGGATTGTGCGCCGGTCTTTCACTGAAGCAGGAACAGAGTAGTACACGCCCAAGTCTGCTTGTGAGGAGCTAATAGAGATGGCATCAAGATAAATGACGAGGTCGTTACCAAACGTTGGACCATAATATGAATGCCTGTAAATTGCCTTTCCTGTCTTTTCTTGCTTCACCTTGCCCAAAAACGGTGCCAACCCTTCAAAATTGTTGAGAGAAAAGATAAACGCGTTGGGGGTTTTGGCATAGCCACCACTGGATTCTAACAAAACAAAACAAAAGCATAAAAGAGGAATTTGAAATAAGTGAATAAACGTCATGTTTTTCTATTTCTTTAATTAACATTTTTGTTACCTTGTATAATTTCCTTTCAGCAGACATTGAAATTTGCCTATCTGCATGACGTCATTTAATCTGATTATTCTTAATAGTGGAGCTCCACGCGCGCGTGTGCGGAGCCCCATAGCTAAGTAAATCTGTCAATCCTAGAAAATTTGATAATCACGTGACCGTCCACCGCCCGACCGAGCGACCGACCGTCCATACCATAGGGAAACCAACGTTTAATCTCACACTTTCTGGCTATAGCCTTATGTTTTTCTTTCAAGGAAATTGGTCTCCTTGTTTTTTACCTTTCGCTACGTAATCTCGATCTATGTCAAGCTCCCCCTCCTGATAATTATTGCACAGTGCTTAAAGCCCTTCAATCTTTAACCTACTAAAGATACTCATTAAAATTCAATACAAAATCTTACCCCAAGGAATGTCAGTGTATCCTCCAAAGACATATTGGCCTTTCTGTACTATGGTCACAGTATTTCTTTTACCGTCGCATCTATTATGGAAGGTCTTGGCTTTCCAACCGTGTAAAGAAGCACGGTAGCAAAGAAGCCAAGAAGAATCCTCCCCAACCTCAGGAGCGCTAGCAAGAAAACGCTGAAGATGTAGGAGGTAATACTGATTTCCATGTAATATTGTTGAGTTCATTGAAAATTCTAAAAATGGAAACACACGGATGAAACAGAAAGGTTGTTTTGGATAAGAAAATATCACGGTCGGTAAATCTATCTGTATATCGGCATACCTAGCCACAGCCTCTTTTTTGACATGTCCAGCAGGTAGATTAGATAGAAAGGTAGATAGGTGGTAAAGTGAATGGACGACGAATGAATAGATGGCTGGATGGATGATTAATTAAAAAATAAATAATAATAATGATAATAATAATAAATAAATAACATGTATGCATATTAGAATAATAATGAACAAGTGACAGCGGAAAATAACATGAAAAAATGAAAACGAAACAAATTTTATTTCAAGTAAAGATATGATCGACGCAGTGGTAGTTTCAAACTCAAATAAACCCGAAAAAAATTTCGGGACTTCAATGGGATTCGAACCCATGACCTCTACATCCATAGCAAACAAGCTTAACAGTAATGCCACGCGACAATTTCGAAATGAGCGAGAACGTGAAAGTGAGTAATAACTAAACCAACGCTAACAGAGGATTTACCCTAGCAGAACTGATTAGGTGTTCTCTTTGCTCGAACGCGAGATAAAACTGCATACATTTTATTTCTGGGATAATCGTAGACGGAAAGATGTAATAAAGTGATTGACGGACGGACGGACGGACGGATGGGGAGATTAATACCAAACTTTTTCAGGGTAGTTAAAAGACGATTGAGCATCGCCGTAATAGTGTCTTCAAAGGAAATAGATTGTTCGCTAATACACTGTGTGCGTTTCAACCATACATCACCTAGAGCACTGCCGATTGTGCATAATTGTTCGTTTTCGTTTTCGTTTTTTTTTGGGGGGAGGGGGGGGGAAGGGGGAACAGAGTTACATTGTACATGCATCTGAAATTTTGAATGATTCCTTGATTCAGCGTTGATCGTACAAATTCTACACATGCAATTTCCCCCCGTGCTAGTAATCTTGTGATCTGTGGTTATAGTTAGTTTGAACTGATGTAGTGTCTCTACCAAGAAGAGCTTCTGCATTTATCAATCCACAACCTGACCTGGCAGGAATATTGGTCATGTTATGAACCATAATATTTCTACCTAAACAAAATTGTGCATACAAGGGAGAGCTATTTGTAGAATTGTAACTGGTTTGTTGTGTGACTGAGAATGACCTCAGACCTTTTCCACCCACTAAGCCACGGTCTAAGACTTGAAAAAGCTGCTCCGGATCTCTCTTTTTCGTGGCCCGCCAAGGTAAATTCCAAAAAGCAAGTAACATGACCCAAAAAGTACCGACAGAGGGTAAAATAAAATCGGGACAAGAGACAACCTCCCTCGGCCAAATTGCGACAGTAAGGGCAAAGCCGAGAATAAGCGACAAAGAACGGTGGTTTGGCTTATTTATCACCAGTCTGGATGCCTAGAAGAAGTAATTTTGGTCACCTTTCCTTGCGCTTCAGAGAACGTCTCTTGTCAGTGATCTTCAGTGGACCCTCCTGGGGTTGGGTCGCGTTACACTTCATTTACGCAACCCCGTACAATTCCTGGGAGACCTGAGAACAAGGTTGTTCGACATGTAGCTTAATCTTATGCACGCTTTACATCTCTTTTATGCTTTGCTTGCCTTGTTCACATCATCAGGTAGAACCGTGAGAAAACCACTGCGTCTTGATTTGTAAGGTGAAGAGGTAAATGCTATGTGTTACGTGGCTCATCAGAGTGGTGGTTTCCTCCCTAGCTACCTGTAGCGTGAAGCGACTATTTCGTAGATACCACATCTCCATAAAAGGGATGTTAGAATATCGCCAGGCTTTCAATCCCCTACCAGCATTATGATCGTCGTACCCACTATGGGTGAAGAGAGACAATCTGATCCAGACTTAAGTTTCTTGTTAAATGTAAGCAACACGGCGGTGATGATGGTGGAGAGACCAGGAAGCAGGTAACCTAACCACCGGGCCGCTCTCACAGAGTAGACCACCGAACCTTCACGATTTATCAGGTCATTTAGTCTTGAAATGTTCAACGCGGATCACTCAGTTGGGAATGGCGATGTATAGGAGTTTGATACGAGCCATATTAACTCAGAAATTGCAGAACTGTAATGGTTTCTTTTCAACGCATCGCTATCGCCCTTTTTTAAAATTCTGACAGACAAAGAATTTTCGTTCATTTTCCGACAGCGACATGAAGCATTTATTAACATCGACACGAGACGTTTAAAAAATGAGAAGAGGGACATGGGACCCTCCCTCCCCGGCAGGGCCTCTTTTTCCAATTAAACAAGTAATAAATTCCCACTGGGAGCCTTCACTCCCAAACGCCCCAGGCAAGGATAAGATATGGGAAGAAGCGAGCCCGGAGGCGAAAAGAAGCGGGAGCTACCTAGGATGGCAACAATGGTCATCGCTGCGGAGAGGAGGGAGGGACGCCAAGCTAACGACTAGCGAGCGTTTAACGAAAAGAGAATTAAACAGGCCAAAATAGGCCTATTTATACAAAACCTGTGTGAAACAGAACACCCAGGAGACTACGAGCGCGCGGGAATTTTTATCCTTGAATCCCGAAGAGATTTGGGACGTTTGTACGAGATGGCCCCAGTGAGAATAGTAGAACGATCATTAATACATACTGTTTACCTCGGTCATTTATCTTATCGATCCTTATCTTATCATCCCATCGTGATACAGAAAAGAGGGTTAATAGTTACGCCCTCTTGTTTTCCCGCGTTGTTTAAGAGTTATCTGAGGATGTATTTTACATGATGGTGCAAATATTTAGAGATGAGCTCTGACATAATCCACCATATGTGACAACTCAGAGATGTTAGATTTGAATAAGCAAGTAAATAAATATTGAATAAATAAATAAAATTATTTTAAAAAGAGCAAGCAACAATTTCCTATAATTTATTGCAAATTATAGGAGTACATCGCTGAACATTTACTTTTTTTTCATGTTATTAAATTAGTAATATCACAACTATAGCGGAAAGTGAGACAGGAATTCCAAGAACCAGCTACAGTAGAACCTCGATAACTCGAACTAACCTGAACAGTTGTGGCCATTTCCAATGTACCCTGGTTTGCAACTACAGTTGAAGGATCCTTCGGTGTTAGCACAGGTGGAATTTTCACTACAATTGTGAGAGTTGTTCAGGCATTCGTCTGCGTCTGAGTGACAATTTTAGTAAATATTGAATTTATTCTGCCTGAACAAACAGTTAAATAACATAGCCACCAGTATGATATAGCGCTATAGTATATAATTTTCGGTGAAAAATGATTTCAGAACATGACATCAGTCACCTCTGAAACTATTGCAAACAGTTTTAAATGGATTAAAAACACAACAACAACGACAACAAAGAATTTAACTTGTACAATTACATCCATCTCCTTTGTACCCTGGTTTAGAAGGTACGAGGGCTTGTAGAAATTGGCTTTTAGAAGTGTAACTGGTTTGTTGTGTGACTGAGAATGACTTCTGAATTTTTCCATCCACTAAGCCACCTTCTAAGACTTAAAAAAAGCTTCTTCGGATCTTTCTCTTTCCTAGTAAAGAAGTAGTACGATCATTGATGGATACTGTTTATATCCCGGCTCGGTCAACCATTTTATCTTATGCCGGCCCATCGTAGTACAGAAAAGGGGGTCAATAGTTACTCCATTTTGTTTATCCGCGTTGTTTAAGAGATATACCAGGATGCATTTTACACTCTTTTTTTTACTGAACCAGTAGCCTCAAAACTAATGGAAATTCCAAGAACCAACCTGAACAGTTTTGGCCATTTCCAAAGTACCCTGGTTTGCAGCTACAGTGGAAGGACCCTTCGGTGTTGTTGCAGGTGGCATTTTCGCTACAACTGTGAGAGTTGTTCAGGCATTCGTCTGCGTCTGAGTGATAATTTTAGTAAACATTAAGTTTATTTGCCTGATCAAACATGTAGACAATATAGTCACCATATATTTAATAATTATAATTATATAGTTTATTGTTAAAACACATCTCCTTTCTCAAAACGTTAATACAGCCCGTTAGGGTTTAGAGTTGATTCTCTGTGATAGCTTTGAATTTATTATATATATCTTAAAAGTATATTCTCTTTTTAGTCACTAAGTATAACATTGTGACCAAAACCGTCGTGTGAAAATTTTTCCCTTTTTTCGCCATTATTTGGTTATTTCGATTGAAACGGAAGCAATTGATCCTTTGCTTTGTACACTGTATATGAGATAAAAACTATAGAGATAGAAACTATTATCGAGAACATAGTAATCATATTTACCAGTGCATGTTGTTCCGTTTTCTGTGTATCCAGAGTGACACGTGCAATTAAAGGACCCCATAGTATTGTTACAATAAGCATTGACATCACAATTATCG